TGGGGAGGCACAGCCAAACAAAAAAAGTTATTTTGTTATCAGTGGTGAGTTAATAATAATAATCACACAAACAGTAATAAGTGTGGTACATTTTACTTTTCATACTATTAAATTTTTTGCTGTTACTTTAACTTATTGGTTTTCAACACAGACAAATATTTTGACATATTTAATAAAATATTTGTACCTGGACTTGTGATTATCAAAACAGTGTGTAGAAAGCATTGGGAAAGGGGCGTGCCCACCGGTGGTCTATGGGCACGACGTCAGTGATAGTCGTGAATATTCTGAAACCACCTTCTATAACATCATATTTCATTAACTCATCTTCTGAAGTGAACTTAGTTGTGATATTCAATGATATGAATTTCTTTGACTGACTACGTCAGAAATGTACCTAAGAGTAACACAGATCATTAGGGAAGCTTTGGATTCTTTTAATATCTACATTGATTATAGTTTTACGTTTGAATTAATCTTTGATCTTTAAGTAATCAGTAATAGTGGAACATCGAAGTGGAAATTTGTAACAAAGCTTACATGTCTGTGCTGCCATCTAGCATTCAAAAACATAATTTTATTTTGACGTTCGAATTGGACAGGTACACTCGTTATTATTATTATCGCCTAATATTGATAATTGTGATGTATTATCTTATTCAGTTTTTACAAGATAAACGTATAAGAACATTTTTAGTTTAGTATAAGATTTCAAAATAGTTGTCTGCTCATTAATTTTCTACTTACACATATATTTTAAATCATCCTTTTCATTATCTAGCTTCTGACCGAGCAAATACCTGTCACCATTCATTCTCGTTTGCTCCGAAAAAAATATGTATATATATATATATATAATGGTTGGAGACAGCTTGAATGGGTAATGAAGTAAAACTTTAATATAAGTTTAACATAACAGCAAATGTACAACGTTTCGACATGGTTTTGTCATCATCATACATATATATATATGCGTGTGTATGTGTAAAAAAAACAAAAGCCTAACTACCTAACATAATTTTAAATCGTTATCGTTTCTCATTTATTGCTGCTCTTCAGAGTAAAACCATAAAACATAAGAAACGGAACAAATCCTAGCGGACATAAAAAATATATACCCGAACAAATCCTAGCGGACATAAAAAATATATACCCGAACAAATCCTAGCGGACATAAAAAATATATAGCCGAATAAATCCTAGCGGACATAAAAATATATAGCCGAATAAATCCTAGCGGACATAAAAAATAAATAGCCGAACAAATCCTAGCGGACATAAAAAAATATATAGCCGAATAAATCCTAGCGGACATAAAAAATATATAGCCGAATAAATCCTAGCGGACATAAAAAAATATGTACCCGAACAAATCCTAGCGGATATAAAAAATATATAGCCGAACAAATCCTAGCGGACATGAAACATAAAAACACGAACAAATCTTAGTGGATTTTTGTCAGGTGAAGATCTAACTTGGCAAATTGATCTACATTGAAGCCTCAATGCGACTAAATGGAGAAGTGACCATACGAAACTGTAGAATGGCACTGGTCATACCAGGAAAAAGACTTAAAGACACATTAATTCTTCCTAACAGGGTAGCGTATAAAAAAAAAAAAAAGAATAGGTAGATCTGAGTTACAGAGTGTTTGAGACATTGGCATCCCTTAGTATAAACGAGACACGAAAGAAACACATGTTGAATGATCTCTTGATAATCCTGCAGAAAGAACAATATGGCTAAGCCACCTCACCAGGTTTATGTGGAGTGTAACCGAAGCGACAAGTAATAATTCATAACCGTGGCTTAACAACATCTTCAGGTCTATTTTTTAGAACAGTACAAATTTTGAGTAATGGGGTAGGACACAAATGTCGTCCCACCTGCGAGTCAGGTCAGTTCTCTGACCGAAGAATTTGAGATTTTGTATATCTGATTTGAATAGTAAGAACTCCTTAATCAAGGGAAGAATTGACAACCCGCTTATTTCAAGGGATACTAACATGACCAGGTATCAATCTTTAATCACCAGAACGGGTAAAACAGTTATAGAGAATCCGACATTTCTACAGCAAACTAGAGTGATAACTTCCACCCGTGAGGATTTAATACAACGAGATTGCTTAAAGAGTCTGAACAGTAACAACGTGAGAAAATGGCGTAATAGTATCAACATAAATAACACAAGCAGTGTGCCCGGTAAACAGTTATATGAACTATCCATGTTGGTACGGGACATAAATAACACAAGCAGTGTGCTTGGTAAACAGTTATGTGAACTATCCATGTTGGTACGGGACATAAATAACCCAAGCAGTGTGCCCGGTAAACAGTTATATGAACTATCCATGTTGGTACGGGATATAAATAACACAAGCAGTGTGCCCGGTAAACAGTTATATGAACTATCCATATTAGTACGGGATATAGATAACACAAGCAGTGTGCCCGGTAAACAGTTACATGAACTATCCATATTAGTACGGGACATAAATAACACAAGCAGTGTGCCCGGTAAACAGTTATATGAACTATCCATGTTGGTACGGGACATAAATAACACAAGCAGTGTGCCCGGTAAACAGTTATATGAACTATCCATGCTGGTACGGGATATAGATAACACAAGCAGTGTGCCCGGTAAACAGTTACATGAACTATCCATATAAATTCTCAAGTAGTCTTGAAATTCTAAGATAAACACAAGGCAATTTTGAAATATAACTCCATTTCGGAGAAATTCTGTAAGGCTAATATCAACATTAATAATGCAATGAATCCAAAGAGGAGGAAACCCCCTTTAAGGGAAGTCGAGTAAGAGGAGATGAAGCTTAACAAAAGAAAAGAGAAGTAAAAATGTTACCACATGCTAAAGTAATAATATTCCACTTTTGATAATAAAAGTTGGCAAGGTTATCAAGAAATGAAATAGAAGTTCCAGAACGTTGAACAAATTTAAATGCTCACTGATCAAGTAAATAGTCTCGACCTAGGGCTAAGGGAGCATCTGAAGCCAAAATTTGTAAATCAGATGTTTATCTCTGTTTGTTGTTGAGCTCAAAGTTTCAGAATGGGCTATTTAGATGTTTATCTCTTTTTGTTGTCAAGCTCAAAGTTTCAGAATGGGCTATTTGTACTTTGCCACCACGGGCACCAAAACTCGGTGTTTAGCGTTATAAGCCTTTAGATGTACCTCTGACACATTTGGAAGGGGGGAGGGAAGCGTAAATCAGGAAATGTAGTGTAGGTTTAATCAAACATAATACAAGTTGGATGGAACAAATTAAAACACGATATAATAACAAAAGATCATGATAATCATATCGGTGGGAAGATATAGTACTAATGTTTATAATACAGAACCAAAGGTTCCAGAAAACAATAATTTATTTATAATAAAATTATAATCCAAAATAACGTGATTCTGTTTCTCATTTTTGTTTCGTCAAAAGTGGTTGAAAGCTTGCATTATTACATAACTACCAAAGCAGAATATTAAGTAGTCTTAAATACTTAATAATGAGCGCCACAAGGTAAAGAAAAAAAACCCACAGGAAATAAATAAAAAGGATTATATTCCCCAAATCCAAAGCAGCCCATCCTCTTTCCTTGAATGTTCCCTCAGTGGCTCAGCGGTATGTCTGCGGACTTCTAACGCTAAAAATCGGGTTTCGATACCCGTCGTGGGGAAATCAGAGATAGCTTATTGTTTAGTTTGTGGCCCGGCATGGCTAGGGGTTCGAATCCCCGTCACACCAAACATGCTCGCCCTTTCAGCTGTGAGGGCGTTATAATGTAACGGTCAATCCCACTATTCGTTGGTAAAAAGAGTAGCCCAAGAGTTGGC